CCCCGGCCGCGCGCTTCTTGCTCCCACATCTCTAATCTTCTTTCTCTCCCCCTTTGTATTTAAATCTTCTACCATCCCCACCCAATTCTTCAATCTAAACCGAGCAGAACAAATCAAAACTGTTTTTCCTTTTCCTTGATAGAGCAAAAAGAGAGAAATTTTTTCTTCCTTCCTTATCACAAGGAACTGGAAAAATCAAAACTAATTTAAAAGCTTCTTTTCTCATTCCTGATTCCCATTTCCGGCAACTCTGTTAATTTTCATTCCTCTTAATCATTTTCTCCTTTATGCTTTTAAATTAGTTGAATTCATTTTTGCATTTCGTTGGAAAAATTCAATTTTTGAGCGGAAATATGGGAACGGAGGTTTTGCGGCCACAGGATATCTTAATTGAAAGATTGAGAGTTCCGCCGTCGGCGTTCCATCGCCGGAGAAGCAACTTTGGAAACGGAAATGGCTATTTTTATCCTAAGAACAGAAAATCGGTGGTCAGAACGGAGAAGAAGAAGCCGAATAACCAACCTTTGCCGCCGTCGATCACGAGGAGATGTGCGAGCGCCGTGGAATTGAGACAGGCTCACAACGACGGCCTAGAAATGGGTCGGGTGACGATTCTGAGGAGAGGCGAGTCTTTGAATTCGCTGGTTCAGCCGGAAATGCTGCCCAAGCAAATCCGGGTCGGGTTATCATCGGCTGACGTGTATGCTGGTTCGGCATTTTCAAATTCGCCATCGCCTAGAGCTCTTCCCTTGCCCTCATTTTTCAACAAAAAGCAGGAAGATTTCAAGTCCTTTGATGACTCTGCCACTAGAGATTTGAGGCGCTTGCTCCGACTTGAATACTAGCGGATCCGGTTTTAACGTTCCCGACCCGAATATATGCGGACAAAAGTTCTCAACTTTTTGGGATCTTAATTTCTCCATGAATATTTTGTAGACATATGGAGAGATGAAAAGGTCTGAAATTTGAGAAAATTAGAAAGAAATGCGTTTAAATATTTTTATTTTTCTTCAAAATTTTGTAAGATATGAATATATAAAATTGGGAAAACTATAGGGTTTGGTTAAATTGAAATACGGGAATGGAATGTTGTAATATCATAATATGGGAATTGGATTATTATGGGAAAGTGGTTGGAGGGAAGGCTGGGAAAGGAGGTTTAAAATCAATATGAGAGTAATGTGGAATGTTTTGCTGCTCTGTTAATGGTGTTAGTGATGACTAATGACGAGGATGATGAAAGAGGAGCTTTTTCAGTTCCTTCTTGTAAGATAATTCTATGATAAATACTCAGTAATCAAGAGCTATAAATTTAGGTAATGTATATGTGTGTTCAGCTTAAAGTTTTCTCTATGTTTCTCCTCTTTACTTGTTGCATATTAGATTCTTTCTTGACCATGATTCACACAGCCATGGAACCTCTTCATTAAAGCCAAAGTAACATGAAACTTTAGGCACATGAATCTACGGGACCAGCAAATTTTAGGCCATCTTCTGATAGTCTTTTTCTAAAGCCAGATTATAATAGATGTTATTTGGTTTCGGCAAATAATACTCCAGATTAGGGGTGGACATAAAATCCGAAAAACCGAATTTCGAACTGAACCGAATTAATTTGGTATTTCGGTTTCGATATTTCAGTTTATTTCGGTACAGAAATTTCGATATTTCGGTAATTCGATACGGTATACGGTATTGGATTATTGATATTTCGATATTTCGGTATACCGAAATACAACAATAGTTTAATGAGGTGAGATCAATATTTCGGTGTCCCGAAACGAAAGCAAATCTCACTACTGTCAACTTGCTTCTAAAATTTCTCGGACTTCGCAGAAAAGTCGGAGTCTTGGGATTTAACTCTATATTGAAAGGTAGCTATACGCATCATCCCAGATCAAAGGCAAGACTTTCCTCTGGCTAAGCAAATTACTCCCATATATTGGTGCCACTATTAATAGTATCTCACAAAACCATGGCGCCATTCTAAATTGGCTACCAGCATTGGCCTTAATGTAAAAAGTCGATGTAACTTTTGGAATACTCTAGATCTTATAGGCTCAAGCACATAAATGTAGATATCAAACGAATGACAAAAGATTCCGTGAACAACTTTAGAGGATCAAGAAAAAGAAAGCACAATATTAGAGTAATTGAAGGTAAAATAATGTTGGCGCCAGATTTTGCTAGTTAATGGAGGGGGAGACAGTGAAGATTTGGTTTAAACCGAAACCGTACCGAAATAGTAGCGAACCAAAATAAGAAATACCGAACCGTACCGAAATATTACGGTACGGTATTTGGTATATACAATTGATAAACCGAATACCGAAATACCGAACCAAAATTCTTAAATACCGAACCGAAATACCGAATGCCCACCCCTACTCCAGATAAGTTTGGCCAAGATTAAACCTCTCGTCCACTCTCTACTCAAGAAGCCTCATTTACCCGTATTATTCCTCCTCCTCCTCCGCCAATTAGAAATAGCTGAAACCATCTCTCTTGCACTTTCATCTAAAGGTGTCAAACGGGCCTTGCTGGCCCGGTTCCGGAATGGCCCGAACCGATTTTAGACCGGATCGGTAGTAAGGGGCCCGGACAAGGCTGGGTTGGGATGGGAACCGGCCTGTGTCGTGTAAAAGTTTGATGCCGGCAAATCGAACTGGTACGACCCGGTAAGGTCATGCCATTTGGAAACCGGTTAACCGGACCGATTCAACGGTAGTTCGATGTTTATTTATTTATAAAGTTGATCGTTGGCAACGGTCAGCTGCCATTTTGACCGTTGCCCAATGGCTAATTTGCAAAAATAGCCCTTTTTGGCATTTGTTTTTCAAAAATAATACTTGTATTATTTATTTAATGCCCCGGAAAATTTCGCTAAGTAATTTAGGATTTCGTGGTACCAGGTAGGCTAATTATAATATTTTACGTGCTATTAACATGATGGACATCAATTGAATTTGGTAAATAAGTGTATAAGTCATATAATTAGTAATTTGGGGTCCAAGGAAAGGCCTAAGTCTAAGTCAAATTGGAAAATTACAAAATAGGCTAAAAATTCCAAATGAGTTCGCACAAGTACAAACTTTGGACGAGCATACATAAATATATATAAGGTGTTATGTGATGAACAACCTATCAAATGAAAGATTTTCGAGTCTAGTTAATAACGCTTCAAACCGCTCGTCATTTGGACATTCCTACACAAAGTTATGATCAAATTACCAAAGGCTGGATTTGCAATCAATTTCGTGATCGCAAAAAGACATAAATATACATAATCGCATAATGATTATGCTGCAAGTCTGCTGCCCACATATCGATTATGCTATAGTATAATTGCACCACATAATTGACTTCGGGGGTCATTTTTAGAAATTTTCATATCCGAACCCACTTTGATAAATAAGCTTTGGGGCTTCATTTGAGGCTATTTTATACTAAATCTAGAGAGAGGTGAGAGCATTTTAGAGAGAGAAGGATGAAGCCTAACATTATAACCATTTAATCTTTCATCAATCTTCAAGAATCAAGAAAACCAATCACAAGATCTTCATTTAAGAGGTAAGTTTCTATACACTAGACTTTAATTTCGAGTTTTGGGTATAAGATGTGTTATTGAGGTATGATTCTTGGGTGTGCTAGTATTATTGGAGAAGAAGAAGAACAAAGCACAGAAATTGGAAATAAAATCATTCTAACCATACAAACGAATAACAAAACAAACAAAAAAATAGAACAAATAGAAAGGGAAAAAGAATACCTCAAGTAAACTAGATGACCCAGGTCCGAACTCAGACTCGACCTTTTTGAGGTCGAATGGACCTTAATCAAGTGTTCTCAACGGAGAACACTTTGACTAAGGTCTATTAGACCCCACACCCTCTACTAATTTGGACAAATTCTTGGTTCTTGGATTTCTAGGGTTCTTGGGGCTCAGATTAGGGGTTCGAGCTTTTCATGGTTCGATTCGAACCAAACCAGGCTTGGTTTGATCACGAGGGAGGTCAGGGGAGTAACTGGTGTGAATTTGGGGTCGGTTAGTATAGGTTGAGGTTTGGCTCGAATCTTCAGATGAAGATTCGAGACAATGTAGGTTGATTCGAGCCAAACGGTTTGTAGATTTGTGTCCAGGGGGTCAAGGTGCACTAGGGGTGTTAATTTGGTGGTCACCGGCAACGTTGCCGCCGGGTTTTAGGCTTAGGGGTTCAACGGCGGCTAGGGTTTGCTGATTGGTTTCGTCTCTGAGTTGATAGAGACGAAGGGGTGCAGGGGGGTGTTTGGTTACGGGGGCGTGG